GGTTTTTTTTTTTTTTTAGTAGAAATGGGGTCTTACTTTGCTCAGGCTGGTCTTGAACTCCTGAGCTCAGGTGACCCAGGCTTCAGCCTCCCAGATTGCTAGGTTTACAGGCAAACAGTGATTTCTTCATGTCACGAAACAGTCCAATTCATACTCGTTATGGCAAAGTATTGGAGAATAATCTGCAGACATTTTACTGTTACTTGCATGAGCACATCTCTACAGTTGTATAAACTGACTAGGTGGGACAGGCAGCCCCCCGGACAGATGTCTGTGGGGTGAGGGCTGGAGTGGGCCTGAACTGTCCTCCTCACCCTTTCAGAGGACAAGGACAAGATGAGCAGCAAGCACCAGCTCCTCACCTTTGTCTCCCTGCTGGAGACCAACAAACCATACCTGGTGAACTGTGTCCGCATCCCCGCCCTCCAGGTGGGTGTTGGTAGCTGCTGGGTTGCTGGGCTGGGGGCACTGGGGCTGGGCCTGGAGGAGCTGCCTTCTGCCCAGACTGGCTGAAGAAACCAGTCCAGGACCTTTGCTGTGGTGCTGTCTTTTTCCTTCATGGATTTGTTCAACAGTTCCTTGCTGAGTGCCTGCTGTGGACCAGGCACTGTTCCAGGCACTGAGGATGCAGTAGGGAACTGGGCGGTGTGCCCTACCCCTGCCTTCCTGGGGCTCCCAGGCAGGGAGGATAGTTGATAGCAGTAAATGCAGTGGAGTGCTGAGTGATTCATGAACACAGCCACACGAGGCCTCTCTGAGGTGGCATCCTGCCCCCCGCCCCCCCGCCCTGTCTCCTGCCCCTGTCTTCCAGTCCCTCTTGCTGTTTAGCCGGTCCCTGGATACCAATGGTGACTGCTCCCGCCTGGTGGCCGATGGCTGGCTAGAGCTGCAGCTGGCAGATAGTGAGAGTGCCGTGCGGCTCCTGGCAGCTTCCCTGAGGCTCCGTGAGCGCTGGGAAAGTGCTTTGGACCGGCAACTGGCTCATCAGGCCCAGCGGCAGCGGAAGCTAGAGGAGGAGGAAGAGAATGAGACTCTGCCCATCAGCCCCAAGGAGGTGGCAGCTCTGAGCAGGGACCTGCTGCAGTTTATGGCATCCAAGGTACCTGCCACCAGGGGTGCCTGTGGCCAGAGGGAGTGTCCACCACAGAGCTTAGGATTCAGAGGGCCTGGTTTCCATTTCACTCAGTGTGGGCAAATTTGGGGGGGGTTAAGCCACAGAGGTTAAATAAAGTCCCTCGGCTTATTAGGGGTAGAGCTAGGATTTGATTCTGGGAACCTGGTTGCAGAGGCCACCCTATTAACCACTGCCTGTATTACTCATTCAGCAGATGTTTATTAAGCACTGTCTGCATGCACGGGTGATACCCACAATTAATAGGGCATGCAGGGTGTGAGAGGGAAGCCATAGATGTCTATTTGTGAGGACAGAGGGCAAGAATGGGACAGAGCAGACTTGAAACAAACTACCTCCTTAGGTGTGGAGTCAGGAATTGCTACTGATTCTTCTTATGGGGGTGGAGGGAGAAGGATGCAATCCTGGCTGACTTCCTGGAGTAGAAGGGCTTGAGAACAAGGATAGGAACCCAGCAAGCCAGGGAGAGGAGGAGAAAGGGCAAGGTGGCCAGACTTAAAGGCCAGGTCCAAGGTCTTGGTGTGGTCCTACCTGTGACAGGGAGCTGAGGCAGGGTCTGGAAAGGGCAGTTGAGATAGGGGATGGGACCTCAGGGCATGTTTTAGACAAGCCTTGGGTCATGAGTGTGTGAAGCCAAGTTGTGATTATCTTATGACTGAAAAGTCCAAGGCATGGCTTCAGGCACCAGCTGGATCTGGTGGCATCTCCCACAGCTGTCTCCTTCTATGTCCTATCTGTTTTCAGGTGCCCTACAGCCTTAGGCGGCTCACAGGGCTTGAAACCCAGAACCTCTATGTGGGACCCCAGACCATCACAGCTGCCCCCAATCTCCCAGGTCTCTTTGGCAGCTCCACGCTGTCCCCCCACCCCACCAAGGGGGGCTACACAGTCACTGACTTCCTCACCTACAACTGCCTCACGGTAAGCATGGACCCCATCTTGGCCTCCTTTACCCTTCTGCCCTAAATATGGGATTTTAGGAAGCCTTCACTTCTGAACCCACCAACTGCATTCTACCTCACTCCAGGGATGTGGTTTTCAAATGGGGTCTGCAGCCATGAGGGCTCCTGGGAAGGGTCTCAGGTTGGTAGTTGGGGGGCAGTGAGGGCCAAGCCCTGACACCCACCTGCTGCAGAGTGACACGGACCTGTACAGTGACTGCCTGCGCACCTTCTGGACCTGCCCCCACTGCGGCCTGCACATGCCCTTTACGCCCCTGGAACGCATCACTCACGAGAACACCTGCCCCAAGGCCCTGCAGGACGGGCCCCCAGGCAAGGACAGGGCTGTGGGGAACCTGGACCACCTCTGTCTGTCCAGCTGTCTGTCTATCCATGGTTGTTTTCTGTGCATCTGGACCCCTGCTGGACACTCTGAGGACTGATGACCTACCTCAACCCTCTGGCCCCGGCTGATGCCACACACATGCCTGTCACAAAGAGCCCAGTATAGGAAGGACCTGGAGTGCCACCTTTTCCTGTGTTTCTGTCTTTGGCCTCTCTCTGTCACTGTCTCTGTTTCTGTTTCTCTGTGTCTCTCTGTGGCTATGTCTCTTGTTCTTTTAGTCTTTGTCTCTCATTGACAGAGCCAAAGAATGAAGACTGGCCTATGTGTGCACGTTAATCAAGGAAGGCTTCTGGGAGGAGGGAAAGCTATGGTTCCCAAGGCTAGAAGAGAAACTGAACACACAAATGCCCAGGATTGGGGTCAGGGGAAGCATGGAGTGGCATGCTCCTCATGGCCTCCCCTTTTCCCTTCCTTAGGGACTGAGGAAGATGCCTCTGAGCCCCTCCAGAAGGCATCTGCCCTGCAGAGGCCCTACCACTGCGAGCACTGCCAAAAGGACTTTCTCTTTACACCCACGGAGGTGCTACGGCACCGAAAGCAGCATTTGTGAGCAGGCTGGGAGCCTGCCAGGGGTGGGAGCATCGGCCCACAAGCCTGCATGTCCTCCAGCTCAGGCCTAGGGCCAGGACTCCTGCCTGAACTCTCAGCCTAGGCTCAGTGCTGTGATCTGGTCCCAGCCCAGAGGAAGGGAGTGTGGACATATAAATAATGCCTTTTCTAGGGACTCAGGATGCAGCAGCTGCCCTCTGCTAGTCCTCCCAGGTCTGGCACTCATCTCTCCTCCTGCATGTGCCAGCTCAGGGGTCCTAGGTTGGCACTAACAGGGACTTCCCACTGACCCAGGTGCAGGATTTTAGCAGTCCTTGGCAGCTACTTTCTCCTGAGTCTGTCCTCACAGTCTCTGCTTCCCCTTGACCTAGGGAGACCTCAACCACCTGGGTTGCTTTGAGATTTGGGCAGGTGCTAATGTTCACATGGGACCACAGGCTGCCCTGTGAGACCCCCGGGGGATCCCATGGGCTGTTCTCAGATATGCGTGCTAGACTCCAGCGCCACGCCTCCCCCCGCCCTGCCCTTCTCTGCTTCACCCCCTACACTCACCTGCAGGCCCCACCCTGCCCTGCCACGCCTCCCCTGCAGTCACCTCCTGGTGAGCTCATCCAGGCCCACAGTCTCTCCCTAGGCCTGGCTGCTCCCCTGAGCCTCAGCTCCCGTGTCCAGCTGCCTCCTGGATACTGACATTTGCAGTCTAACAAGAGTCTAAGCCCATTGCTGGTTCTAGTTTCCTGTTCTTCCCTGGGACATCCTCATCTTAGCCTAATGCTTTTTAACTGATGTACCATCCAATTGGTCATGTATTATTCGTTATTTTCTATCTAAGATAGAGCTTATGAGACCCAAAATGCTAGGCATCTCTGCCATGCTCAGTCAACTGAGTCAGGCCTGAGTCCTTAACATCCTCCTGACGCTTGCCTCTCAGCATATTGGCACTCTGAGTCATTGGCTCCACCTTCATACTCATCCATAATTGAACCTCTCAGCCCTTCGTCTCATGGCCCTACCATTAGTCACTGCCATCCCACACCGGACCACAGCAGCTCTGCCTCACCTGTCTCCCTGCTTCTATCATCTGTTTTCCATATAGGTCACCTGTACAGGTACTGGGAATGGGACTTCAAAACGTAGGGAGGGGACAGACGTCCACCTAAAACACTCCTTCTAATCCACCTGAGGGATAAAGCACAAAAACACTACTACCCTTCTCTGCTCAGAATTTCTCCAGGATAATCAAATATTATTCAGCAATAAAAGAAACAAAGCGGTGACCCATGCCATCGTGTGGGTGAAGCTGCAGCACCTGGTGCTAAGAGGTGGAACTGGCATAGAGGAAGAGCTTGGGCTCTGGTCATAGGCTGGAGACGCTCAGAACTGGGAGATAGAAATGCGACTGGCAGTTACCAGGGGCTTGAGAGGAAGGTCATTGTGGGGCACAGCATTTATTTTTAGGGTCCTGAAAATGTTATAGGATTAATTAGTTGGGTGCACAACTCTGCAAATATACTAAGTGTACTAATTGTACACTTAAGTGGGTGAATTTTACAGTATGAATCAGAACTCAATAAAGCTGTCACTTAAAAAAAAAAAATCATGGCTCCCCAGCGCCCCCTGGTGGGAGGTTGATTGCCTTCCCCATGAGCCCTGGGGGATCAGCCACAGCTGGGCCCCTGTTTTTGCCCACTTCAGGACCTATGCGCCTTCTATCCCCAACTGAAGAGCTTCTCCCCTGACCCAGCCACCCCACACCTGTTCGTCCTTCAGGTCTTAACTCCAACCTTAGTCTGCTGGGAAGCCTAGCCTGGCCCCTTGCACATCCCCTCCCGGGGGACCTGAGAGTGAGTTCCTGGAATTCAGGGCTGGGTGCCCCATGCAGAGGGAGAGACGCTGTCATGGACACGTGCAGGGAGACTTCTATGGCCGAACAGACTCCCAGCTGTAGTGGTGGGCCACACAAGGTGGTCCCCAGGAGCATCCTCTGTTTCCACCATAGCAGGACACTGTGATGGGGATTCCACCAGTGCTGAGAGGTCTGTCCCACAGTGCCTTCCAGAACTGGGATAGCTTCAGAGACCCTTTGGGCCCACTGTGAGTTACACCTGAGCTAAAACTCCACCCCTCACACAAACCCACAGCCCCCTGCTCTCTGCCCTTAGGGTCACAGTGCCTTTCTAGTCTCCTGGGGCTCGTGTTAGCTCAGAGCCAGTGTCCAACGGTCCCCCAAAGAGACCCAGTGCACAGTCACCCTGTAATCGGTGGTGGGTCCTATTGGGGAAGCCCAGGAGAAAGGCAAACAGTATAAATTTTCTGTAGTATACTGTGTGCTTTCTTGGAGGGGTTCTGGGCCATAAACTGGCTCAAATCTGGGCACCAACTGAGGGCCAGGACTCTGTTTTTGTGAATCAAAAGGGTTTTTTTTTTTTTGCTTGCCTGATGTGGACATCCCACATACACAGATCAAGAAAGAACTCAGTAGTGGCCCATTGCTACCTGCCTAGGAACACGTGATAGTTTCTAGGCCACTGTGATGGCTGTGTTTTCACTGCTGTCTCATGGCACTGCACACACATTGTCTTTGGCAATTAAGTTGGGTCACTTGGCTCCAGCCACCCTGGGATCCAGCTATCTCCACTGGGTTTAGATTTCTGGTTCAGTGGCAGCACCTTCCATAGTCAGTTCCTGCTTAGCAGAGAAGAGCAATCTCAGAGCCACAACAATGCTGTGGACACCTGCAAGGTGGCCCCAATGGTGAATTCCTGCTTTGTGGCACAATCCCAATCAGGCACACATAGTGACACCCAGAGTCTCAAAGTCATGGACTCGGAGTCACACAGGAGACATGCCACCTGTACGTGACAGCCTGTTCTCAGAGACACAGCCACACACATTCAGGAATGGGACACCCTGGCAGTGGCTCCAGCCACACTGATATCCTTCCACACACCACTGTATTCCAGTCCACAGCCCCAGCAGACATGCACTGGCAGCCACACACCAACTTCCAGGCCCTACCCACCCCTCAGACCCAGCTGGGTCCTCCCACGACTAGGGCCCCCTTCTGCTCAGTGAAGCCCACCCACTGCGCAGGCTGCCCCGGAACCAGCCCCGGTGTTGGTTCCTCCTGCCAGGAAGTGGGGGAGGTATTTTAGTGACAATTAACCTCCTGCCCAATTTCCCTCTTTTCCATGGCACATTCAATTGGTTTAATTAGAGAATTAGAGAGGATTAAGTGAGAGGCATTTCCAGTCTCTGGGAGGTGGGGGATGTGACAAAGGGACCTGCTCCTCCCTCACCCCTCATTGTCTCAGCCCCAAAGACCCTTCTCCTGTGCCAGGCAGGGGTTGGAATTCAACTGCCTCCCCCTGAAGCAGACCTCAGGCCTTCGCCTGGCCCTACCCCCTCGCCCTTAACTCTCCCCTCACCTGCCTTCAAAGGAGGGGGATAGAAGTCCTTTCTGCAGCCTACCCTTCATCTTTCCCACTTTGCTCCTGGAGTGTGTGAAGAGAAAGAAACACTCATCATAGTCACAAAAACAACATCACACCCAGAAACCAGTTCGTGTTAGGCTTTCTTAAAAACATAGAATCTTTGAGAATCCTATTTTTAAAACAAGAGCTATAAGCAGAGTGGTTAGCTCACGAGGCCTGGAGCCAGGCTGCCTGGGTTCAAATAGAGCTCCACTCTCTCCAGCTGTGTGACCTTAGGTAAGTGACTTCCCCTCTCTGGGCCTCAGTTTCCCCATCTGCGAAATAGGGACAGAGATGAGACCTACCTCCCAGACTTTGTGAGGGTTAATGGGTTCCCAGGGATGAAGCTGTAAGGGCCAGCAATGACTGAAGTGTCCAGTGAATTCATAAAAGTGGCAGCCCACACTCCTATCCCATACCTGCTCTTTCTGTGACATTTGTCACCTTCTGAGATTAAATAGTGTACTTATTTGTTAGAGCCATTGTTGATCTCTGAGCCTGGACATTGGCTCCCCAAGGCAGGGCTCTTCGACTTGCTCCCTGACATCCCAGAAGAGGGACAGGCAGAGAGTGTGGACCTGGGAAACACCTGTTACATGAATAAGTAAAGTTTGAGCCTCAGAATGATTGAGTCTACTCTCTGCCTGTTTCCAAGGCACCAGCTGCTCTGCTGTTTCAGGTTTGATGGAGAAAGACAAGCATCTGAGAGCCATCAGAACCGCCACCATGACTGTGGGCAAGAGCAGCAAGATGCTGCAGCACATCGACAACAGGATGAGGTGCATCCTGCAAGATGGCCGGATCTTCATCGGCACCTTCAAGGCTTTCGACAAGCATATGAATTTTATCCTTTGTGACCATGATGAGTTCAGAAAAATCAAGCCTAAGAACTCCAAACAAGCAGAGAGGGAAGAGAAGCGAGTCCTTGGCCTGGTGCTTCTATGAGGGGAGAACCTGGTCTCAGTGACAGTAGAGGGACCACCTCCTAAAGATACTGGTATTGCCCGAGTGCCACTTGCTGGAGCTGCTGGAGGTCCAGGGATTGGCAGGGCCGCTGGCTGAGGAATCCCAGCTGGGGTTCCCATGCCCTAGGCTCCTGCAGGACTTGCTGGTCCAGTCCATGGGGTTGGTGGGCCATCCCAGCAGGTGATGACCCCACTAGGAAGAGGTACTGTGGCCGCTGCTGCAGCTGCTGCCACAGCTAGTATTGCAGGGGCCCCAACCCAGTACCTCCCTGGCCGTGGGGGTCCTCCCCCACCTATGGGCCGAGGGGCACCGCTCCAGGCATGATGGGCCCGCCTCCTGGCATGAGGCCTCCTATGGGTCCCCCAATGGGGATTCCCCCTGGATGAGGGACTCTGATGGGCATGCCCCCTCCAGGGATGCGCCTCTTCCCCCAGGCATGCGAGGCCTTCTTTGAACCTTGGCCACAGAGTTATGGAAGTAGCTCCACAGAGGCATGGGCTCGATTCCTCAGGGCCACATTACCACAGACCTGTTTGTTTGTTATGCTGTTGTTCCAGGAGTCTCACCGGATTGTCTGGTTTCCCTTACAGGGCCCCCTCCCCCGGGAATGTGCCCACCAAGGCCCTAGACTCATCTTGGCCCTCCTCAGCTCCCTGCCTGTTTCCCGTAAGGCTGTACATAGTCCTTTTATTTCCTGGTGGCCTATGAAACTGGTTTATAATAAACTCGTAAGAATATTAAAAAAAAGAAAAAAAAACAAAGAAAGACAAGCATCTGCCCTGCTTGTGGGCTGAGACTTAAACCAATGATGAAACTGCCAAACAAGTGACCAAGAGAATTGCAGGGAGGGTGATTAAAGGGACAAGAAATGGGACAAGAATGTGACTGGTGACTGTGGTGGGTGCTTTGGTTCGGCCATTCCTGCTTCTCTGTGGAGGTGACCTATGAGCCGGGTAAGGTAGCCCAGGCAAAGGGGAGAGAGGCCCAGGAGAGGGACCAGGCTGGTCACTTTCCACAAGGGAGTGTCTACACCTAAGAGACTTAGAATCTGTAGTGGGCCTCTCGATGTCTTCATGGGGACGTAACAGCAGCCTGCAGCGTTTGATGCTCACTGGAGGGATGTTGGATCTGAGCCCATCAGGTCTGGGCTATGGCCTCTATGGGCAGCTTGTCTTGGAGTCTAGTGCCCAGAGGGGACATGAAATACCCACTGAACAGACAAGTGGATGAATAAAGGACCCCCGGGTGTGGGGGCTGGGTATCCTTGCTTGGGCCACCAGGACTCTGTCAGCCACACGCGTGTGTTTCCCAGCACAGCTCTGCATTTCAAGAATTGCCTGGGTCACTGTCTGTGTTTGGTGTGGTATAGCTGCTGTGTGCTATGTGTATCTTTGCACCCATGTGTCTGTGTGTGGCTCTGTGTCTATTTCTCCACCTGGGGCCCATCAGAAGGGACTCTGGGTATCCAGGAACACATTTTTCATGGTATCTCCAATGCTCAGCATGGCACACCGTGTGAGTCTTTGAACACAGAGCAAATGTGAATGGGCCTGGGGGTGCCTGAGAGGCTGGTCAGAGGCTGGCTGAGGAGGGAGCGGGAAGGGGTTCAGACAGCAGAGGGGCTGGGGGGCGGTGAGACAGGATGCAGGCTCCTGCTGCAAGGGAGGGACTCCATCTGAACACCGAGGAAGGGAGCGGGGGACCCTGCAGATGTGGGCTGGGGGCACAGACTGAAACAGAAAGACCTAGAAACACAGAGGGAGAGAACAGGAGCAGAGGGAGATGCCTCAATCCCACTTTTGTGCGCTCTCTTGGGGTAAGAGGAGAGCAGCCCAGAAGGATGGAGGCCCAATGGACTCAGGCCAGCTTCTAAGCCTCAGTTTCTCTAATGTCAGAGGATAACCTCTGCCTTCGAGTGAATGCTTATTACACACGAGGCACCATTCTCAGTGTGTCCCTCGTGATATCTGCAGCCTGGCACAACAGTCCTACTAGGTAGGCACTGCTGCCATCCCTATTTCCCAGATGTGGAAACTGAGGCCCAGACAGGTGAAGTCACTTAGCTGATGTGCCACACGACTGTGTTCCAGAGTTGGGATTTGAACCCATATCCATTGTGAGCACCCTTCTCAAGTGCCTTCAGGCCAACCTGCTCACTTCCTGTCAGGAAACTCAGCGTGGTTGGTTGATGCAAAATGGGTCGTAGTTCTTCATTTCTCCCTGTACCCACATCTCTTGCAATCTCAGCTCCCCACCCCCAGACCACAAGTGGTGGAGTCTATTTCTCTGCCCTTGAATCTGGCCTTTGAGTGGCCAAGAGGAGGCAGCTGAGATAATGACAGGCCAGATTTCAACCCTCTTGGGATCCCACAAAGCCTTCCTGCCAACAAACTGGATGGCTTCCTGGTCCATGAGCCTTGTCGTCCTCTACTCCTTTTGCTTCTGTGGCTGGCCAGCTCCCAGGGGCAGGCCCTAGCCACCCGATAGCTGACGCTGAGGGCCCTGTCCACATCCCATGAGTGGTCCTGTAGACCCTGGTATAAAATACCAACCTAAAGAATAATGAGCTTCACAATAGTTGGTGTTTGGAGTCACAAAGTATTGGGCCAGGTTGTTCCTCAGCAATAGCTAACTATTACCCAAGTGTAAGGTGACCAGATTTTAACATTGGTAAAGTGGGACACCATTGATGGGGGTGGGAGGTGGGGTTCTTAATTAAAAATTTGGTCTATATGGAGCAACAAAAATTTTCATAGAACGCAAAAATAGTATTGTAATATATATTTTTTAAATTTCAACATAAGTACAATTTATAAATATAATACATTAAAAAAATTATGTATAGGGCAGAGCCTGTGGCTCAAAGGAGTAGGGCACCTGTCCACTTGGGTGACCTTGCCCAGGAGGGGAGTAGGGAGTTTACATTAGCCTTTTCATTTCCAAACGAAGTTACATTAACCTCTTCATTCCCAAATGGAGTTACATTAACCTTTTCAGCAGCCAAAACCATATATTCCCTTCCCGTTGTCCCACTGTTCCCTAGCTTGTCGTGCATTCTTTCCAAAAATCGGGACTTTTTTAAAATGCCACAGGACATGGGATAAATTGTTAAAAATCGGGACTGTCCTGCCAAAAGCGGGACGTCTGGTCACCTTACCCAAGTGGGGTGTCTAGGCAGAATAAAAAAGTGACAATTATTATTATTTGTGGTCCAGGAACTCCAAGTGGAGAATTTGAAATCTCAGAAACACAAAAGAACTGGCAGCTTTGTGTTTTTAAGACTTTATTGTTAAAAAAAAAAAAAAAGGAAAACATCAGAGAAGAGAGGTGGGGAAGCAGAAGGGGATGGGTGGGAGGTTGAAGGAATCTCCCCAAAATGTCAGGTTCAGGCAACCATCCTTTCCTGACCACCCAGACCACCCGCTATCTCTTCTCTATCCTGAAGGTGGGGCCCTCAGCCACCATCTTCTGGAGACCAAGGCCCAGGATCTCAACTGGGTCCTGGGCAGAGCTGAGGGCAGAAGTGAGGCTCAGGGCCTAGAGGCCTTGTCAGTGTCCTGGAGAGACCCTTGAGTGGGCACTCAGGCCCCATGTCCCAGCGGGGCCCCAGGGAGGTAGGCGTTGAGTGAAGGGGCCTTTGGAAGTGGGTCCCAAAGCCAGTGGGCCAGGTGGGGCCCAGAACAGGTGTGAGGCTGGTGGTCACAGTCTGGAGGCTGGGCTCTGTGGAGAGAGGAGAGAGGCCAGGTGAGGAGGCAAGAGGGTGCCTGGCCCCAACACGGCCCCCAAATGAGGGGTACACAGAGACTGAGGGAAGGGGGGCCAGTGCAGGGATGAGTGGGTGCCACAGAGAGAGGAGAGGTACAGTGAAATGGAGAACCAGAAAGAGATGGAAAATGACAAGGAGACAGAATGGGACAGTGTGAGAGAGAAAGGAGTCACAGAGAGATAAAACATACCAAAATGGAGAGACAGGGGAAGACAGGAGGCAGAGAGACAAAAGAGAGAGACCAAAAGGAGGGGGAGTACTGGGGATGCCTGACAGTAGGGTGAGAAGTCCCCTCCCTCACTGTTGAACCCAGAGGTCACCAGACACTCACACCAGACCAACCCCGCCCATGCTTGACTATGGCAGGGCTGAAGCTCCACTGCCCTACCAGGCCCTAGATAATCTGGCTCACCTCTCCTTCCCAGCTGGTCTCACCTCCAGGAAGCTCTCCTTAAATCCTTCAGCCTGGGTCAGACGTTCCCTCTTCCAGGAAGCCCTCCCTGAACTCCTCCCCAAGCTTGGGTCCAATGCCCTATCTGGGCTCCTCTCGCTCCTGGGCTTCTACATCCTAGCCCTGCCCACTCTGGGTCATCACCGTCTTGAGGCTGGGTCTTTCTCCCCAACTGGACTGTAAGCCCCACAGGCCTGGGGCTGTCATGGTCACTATTGTTTCCCCCTCCACCATCCAGCACAGGGTGGGTCACAGAGCAGATCAGAAGATGTGTACTAAATGAATGAATGGGTGGACAGATGGATGGATGCTAAATTAAGAAGTCTGGACTTTGTCCAGAGGACACTAGGAGCCACAGAATAGTTCAATCCAGGGAGAGTCAAGATCCGATCTGTGCTTTAGAAACTTCAGGCTACCTCCCCACCCTGGGCCTTAGGACTTTCTGTTTCCTTTGCGTTTCTGAGTGAGGTGGACCTACACAAGTGACCTCTTCTCTCTGGGTGTCAGTCTTCTCATTTGTAAAGTGAAAATAATAATGGTCTCTCTCTCTCAGGGTTGTTGTGAGGGCTAAATGAGAAGATGCTGTGAAGCACTGCCATGATGCCAGAGGAAAGTGTCAAGGCCTGGAAGAGTAAAAGAATGATACCTCCCTAAACCTTACCCCTGACTCTGCCAGTGGTCTCCTATTCATCCTCTCATGGCTCATCCAAGTGGCCATTCCAGGGGCCACTGCCTCTAGGAATTCTTCCCTAAAACTCCAGAGCTAGCTGATAACTCCCTCCTCTGGGAAGTCTATGTTTTGTTTCAACTGTTGCACTGGATTGCCATTGGGGATGTTCATTTCCCTTAAGACCAGAATCTTCTCAAGAGCCAAATGAAGCATGTTAGGACCTGGAGCAAGGGTTCAGTGTGTGCTTGGAAATCTGCAAATGGATGGGATGGGTGGGTGAATGCATGGACAAAAAGGGATGCATGAATGGGTGAGTGGGTGGGTAGAAGTATATTCTGATGGGTGGTGGGTGGATGGGTAATTAATGGATGGATGGGTAGATGCATGGGTAGGTAGGTGGGTGGGTGAATACACAGACAAATGAGTAGATATGTGGGTGAGTGCATTAGGGTGGAGGTGGTGGATAGATGAAATGAGTGAGAGGGGGAATGTATGGTTGGATGGGTAGGAGTGGATAGGCAAGTGGATTACATTTGGATGAATGATTGATGGATGGATAAATACACAGATGGTTGAGGGAGTGGATGGATAAATGAACAGACGGAAGAGGAGGATGGACGGATGGATGGACAGATGGATGGATGGATGGATGGATGAAACATCTTCCCTCAGAGAGCTCTCAGTTCAGGGACCCAGGCTGACCCTGCTCTGGGCGGGCCTACGATTGGAGTCCGGAAGTCTTCTGAAGGTTTGACAGTTGCTTAACCCCTAGACCTTGGGCACTCACACTTCTCCTGAATCCATCCTCTATAGATAATGCCACTCTCCTTCTAAGTTCAAATTCATCCCCACAGATCCTAGAAGACAAAAACGGAGGATTAGTGGTCTTCCCCAGGCACGGTCCCCAGATGTTCCCTAAGTCCCCCTTGCCCCTTCCTTCACCAGAGGATCCCTCAACCAGGATAGATTGAGTTGTCTTTTAAGAGGGCACTTGCCGTTTGTGGTGGAAGTGAACTTTGTAAGGAAAAGGTGGGAACTAGGAATCTGCGTTGGGATCCACTGCACCCTTAAAATACAAATGTCACACTGTATCACCCATGAACCGAATCTTAAGGGAGGTACCTATGTGCGCAGAGGAGTGGCTCAACCAGGGGGCGGGGCTTACCCGGCGGCCGGGCAGTAGCGTGTGGCTGGGTCTCCGTGTAGCCAGCCAGGGGCTGGCCCTCTGGGCTGAAGGCTGCACCCTGCCCTGTGAGGAGAGGTTGAGGGGTATAGGCTGAGCCCCGGGAAGCCTGTTCCCGACTTTGACACCCTCCTCAGAACCCCAGGCCCTCCGTCCCCACCTTCTCCCTGTACCTGTGCGGTTGGATTGATCGATCATCGGTTGCACGATACGCCTCCGGGCGTTAATGAACCTGCAGGTGGTCATGAAAACGGAGAGGGGCAGTGTAGAGAGGAAGGAGGAGAGAGACTGAGGTGGACACACGGACAGCCGGGAAGGGAGGAAGCGATAGGGTAGGCGAAATGGGAGCGCCGGGCTCTGGGGTCTCCGTCAGCACCGCGGACAGCACCTGGCCTCCACCCTAGGCGGCCACAGACCGCCCAACCCTCCTGGGCGGCTCACCAGTTGTTGACTTGCAGGATGGTGAGCCCCGTGTCTTGTGCAAGCTGTTTCTTCTGCTCCTCAGACGGGTACGGGTGCTGCGGCCACCAGCAAGAGTCACCCTGCTTGCCAGCACGGTCTGATCCCCAAGGTCTGGCCCGCCTGATCTCCTGGATGGTGGGCCCAGGCTAGGGCAGGGCCAGGAGAGCGCCCCCCCTTCACCCCCTACCCACATTGAGTATCTCAGTGCTCCTGGATGGTGGAGGCAAAGCTCAGCCAAGCTTTGTTTAGGCAATTACTTGCCCGCGGAGTCCGCTGCCTCTTTCAGCAATTAGAGGCTAATTGGCCAGACCTCCTTAGGGAGCCATGCTGGGGAGGGGGCTCCAAACAGTGTGGAGAAGGGAAGCAAAGCCTAGCCTTGTCCCTGTTTGAGTCTCCCTGTCAGAGCCCCTATGTGTGTCTCTCCCTACCAGTTTCTTTATTTTTCTGTGGCTTTCTCTCTGTCTCACTATCTCCCTCTCCCTCTTCTGTCTCTGTCTCTCTCTCTTTCTCTGAGTTACTCCTTCCCTGTCTCTGAGTTTCTGTTTTTCTGTCTCTGTCCCTCTGTGACTCAGTCTCTCCCTGTCTCTATCTTACTCTGTCTTGGTCCTCCCCATATCTTCGTGTCTCTGTCAGTTTCAGCTTCTCCCTGTCTCCATTTTTTGTCCCTCTCCATGAGGTAGTGTTGTCTGCAGACTGCCTGCATTTGAACTCACTTCTGGTTGGGCAATTCTCCCAACCTCTTTGTTCCTCAGTCTACTCATCTGTAAAATGGAAATAATAATGGCCCATCACTCTTAGGGATGGTGGGTGGTGGGTGTGTGGATAATGGATGGGTTGGTAAATGGGTGGATGGATGGTTTATGGAAAGGACTGAGTTAAGAGCCCTTGGCAGCACCTGGCACACAGGTAACACTGATGTTCACTCTTATCATTCCCTCCATGAGAGTCTTCCCCAATATCCCCCCTGCCTTAGTCTCCCACCACAAAGTAACTTTTGGGGGCTCAGTCTCTGTGGACAATCCTTTTCCATCTCTTTATGCCCACCCTGCACCTGGGACTACAGGGATCTCACCGAGAGATGCTGGAACAACCAGGCTCTCATGATGTTGGTGGCCACCTTGGGGAAGATCCCTCTCTTCTTGTTACGCCGCCGTTCTTGGTCCAGCTCCTCATCCTCTCCCCCAGAACTGGGAGAGGCCACACTTGTGTCAAGCCCATCTCCTGAGGGGAGGCAGGCATGTTGTGTTGGGGATAGTGGAGAGCAATGGACAGCAAGCTCCAGAACTCTGACCCCAGACACCATTCCACACCCCAGCTATCTTAGTCCCTCCTGAAGTCCTATTTGTGATCTAACTTCAATCCTCTGGCTGACTCCCATGTTTCCCCTCCACCTCCCAAGCTTCTCACCTTGGTCACTGGAGTTGTCCCCACTCTGGGAGGCCAGGCCCCCACTGGATGGACCTGGGGTCCCCAAATGTACAGATCCACTATCCTCATGGTCTCTAATCCATGTATTAGTCTAGAAAACAAGAGCTAGAAGTTAATGGCAAGGTTTAGGACACAGTACAGCACAATGGATAGGAGTATGGGTTCTGGAGCCAGGACTCCTGGAGGGGAAGCCTGCCTGTGCCTCTTTCCTGGCTGTGTGATCCTGGACAAGTTGCTTCATCTCTCTGTGCCTTCATCTCCTCAATTGAAAAATGGAGGGCAGCAACAGTCCCCACCTTACAGAGTAAGGATTCAGTGAGTTAACTGACCTAAAGGCACACAGCAATCACTCAATAAAGATGACTTTATACAAGTCCAAGGCACCCTAGAGGTGTTTCAGGATTCAGGGTGTTTCACATTTTTAGAGGGAAATAATAATAGCCATCACTCTTTGAGGTGTTTCAGGATTCAGGATGTTTTACAGTTTTAGAGAGTCAATCAGCACATACACTGTGCAGGATCTGGGGCACAACCTCCGTCATCAAACTCATTAACATTTCTACAGCAACATGGATGAATATTTAACAGAGTGGAATAAATAAAGGCTATAAATAGCCTCTTATTAGTTGAGGTCAGATTTTGCTGCCAAGTAAGTTTGCACTACATTTATGGGGTAAAAAAAAAAAAACAAAAACCAATACTTTGAATTTCCAGAGATTCTGATGTCTCAGAATTGTAGCTAAGGGGAGTGAGAGGCTGTATTTTCTTTATCCCAACTTGGACACATTTTAAACAACTTGACAAAGTGTTGGATTTGTGCCCCAGGGCAATCAACTCAGACAAACCTCATCGGGCCTTCTTCACCCTTAGGCTTAAGGTTGGGTTCCATCTGCCAAGTGGCTGGAGATGAGGGTCCTTCTCCCAGATGTTCTAGCCCCTGTCAAGCATTCTGCTCCTCTCCTGGGTTCTGGCAACCACTCCCTCTCAGACCCAGAGATGGAAACAACTGCCCACTGTATGTCGCTCAGCCCCAGGGTCTCCACTTCTCTGCTGACTACCTCAAAGCCTGCCCATGACTTTGTGAACAGTCACTCCTGAATCACCTACCATGGGGGCGCACCAGGTGTTCTCTGCCAGGGAGTTTTCCCCAGGCTCTGTGCATTTATGCAGAATTGTGTGTTTCAGTGCATTTGGGGATGAGTTGGGCACAACTGCAGAATCGCTCAGGTCTGAAGACACGTGAGCACAATCGTGGTTATCACCTGTGGCTATTATGATGCTGAACATGACCAGGTGAGTGTATCCAAGATGTCCTAAAGCTGTTCTGAGACTTTCATGTGGCACTTAAGTGAACTTGTATAATTATCGGAGCATGAGTGTGCCTACATCTGTGCAGCTGTATCCAAGGATCTTAGGATGACATGGCTGTCCCCAAAGAGGATATGGCTGTGGCATGGCTGTTACATGGGTGTCACTGAGAAATGCAGCTGCATTTGAGTGATTTGCCAGGCCTATATGGTTGTGACATTGATTATCACAGGCTATATTTTCTAAATATATGACTGCAGTTTGAGGGTTGGGTTGTCCTATTCATGAGACTATGCACATGGTGACTGTGATTCCCATACAACTGGGTGTATGACTTCAGGACTGTTGGGTAATCATTAGGCAAGTGTAATCAGGCTGCATGAAGACCTCTGAGTATGCGCCTCCGTGGGAGTTGTCACCAATCATAACACACAATGGGGTTCTCGCTGAGCACGTGCATATTATAGGCTGTGAGGCAGAGGGTCCTTGAGGCCATTCTGTGACTGCTGTGCACCTGTCCCTGACTTTGTGTCCTGTTGTGTCATTGCTGGTTGTGTAGAAAGTATAACCAGGGTGGTCCTTGTGTGACTTCTCCCCAAGGCTTTGTCACTCCATCTCTGTATGTAGCTGTGACAAGTCAGGATCCACCCAACTATCATGTGTGTGACTGTTGTCTGATGTCCTAAGCTGACACCGCTGTGTCTGCAGTGGTGCACTTTATCTCCTTGCTTTGTTGGGTGTGATTCTGTGTGGCTGTATCCAAGTCTGTACTTCTATTTCCAAATCTGCATGGGTGAATTTGGACCTGTGTGGCCCTGAGTAGCATGTGAATGTGTACGCACACTTGTTGGAGCCCAGCTGTTACTGGTCAGGGTCACATGTGTGCATGTGCACATGCAAGGACACCCTGGTCAACGTGGATCCAAGTGTGGTCACATCAAGTGTGCCAGGCAGTATCTGGGCTCTCGGGTTCTATCTCCATCTGTGTGGCTGTTGTGTGGCTGGGGTATGCATGTGCTGGGCCCTCTGTATGATCTATGCTGCTGACACGTGGCTGGGATATGTGTGTTCAAGTATGTGGTAGAAGCTATTGTCTGGCTGTGACTGGGGATGACAGTACCCAAATTTATGCAGCTGAAAGTGAACCTATGTGGATGCAGCTGAGTCTGTGGGTGGTGCCTGCAGCTGTTTGGGGCGGGGGTGTGTGCATGCATGCACATGCCGTTGTCCAGGTGTACCTGAGCCCATTTAGTAGATGTGTAGTTGGCATGTGACCACACGCATATGTACGCCTGTGGCCAGGCTGCCTGGTGGCCTTGTCTCAGGCTGTGTGGTATGGGGGTGAGTGTGTACCCTTATCCTGTATCAGGCCCACCTGGTCTGGGAGGCTGGGGCAAGAGGCTGGGTAGTCCTCAAGATCCTCTCTGCAGCCACCATCCCGATCCTCGATGACCAGGTCGATGGGCATCTTTCCCTTGAGGCAGGTGATGTAGCGGTGACAGAAGTTGTCGCACAGGTCGTGGACCTGGTGGGGGACCGGGGTACTGGGGGGACCACCCGGGGGCTAGGGCTGGGTATACAGGGACAGGGATGGCATTTCTGCTTTAACTCTGGTGGAGAGAGGGCCTAGGGAGGGGGAGGGCCAAGGGGAGCAGATGAGGGTGGCAGGGAGGAGAGCACTCACCTTCTCCAGCTCCAGCAGGTGGAACCGCAGCACCTGGATGGCCTGGATCATCTGAAAATGGGACCAGGAAGGAACCAGAGTGAGGGTGGGGGAAGCAAGAGGAGTATGGGATGGGAGAAGAAGAAAGGAAAGACAGAGAAACAGGAAGAGTGAGACAGATGATGCGGGCAAAGAGAAAAATTGAAAAGAGATGGAGATCAAAATTGAGGAAAGGGAGGGTGATGGATTGAGAGGAAGTGACAAGGGAAGAAAAGCAAGAGACAGAAGGGGCCCATCACAAGAGGCATGAGCTAAGGTGGGCTCCAACAGTAAGTGTGCCCACCCTTTGCCTGTTGCCTCCAGCTCCAAGCCCACCCTCCCCATGCAAACTACATTTCCCAGAATCCTTTGCCAAAGGGTTTGGCCAATAGGAGCCCTGGCAGGAGCAGGGCAGAGAGGACTGGAGAGGTTGGAGTATTTCTCCTTCCCTCCCTCTCTCCCCCATCTCTTTCCCCCTCCTTTGAGGATAAGTCCTAGGCTCATTTGGCTCTGTGCTCTTGACTGAGAACAGTGCTTTTGGAGTCCCATCCTGTGCCAGATGCTGTTCTAAGCACTTGACTTGCATTAACTCATTAAATTCCACAGCAGCCCTATGTGATAAAGTTACTACCACCTATGTTGTACAGACAGGACACCACGGCACCAGCACTAAGAGGTGGAGCCACTTGTCCTGTGTCACAGAGCTAGTGACGGCAGAGCTGAGATTCTAACCGGCCTCAGAATCTGGCTGTGCCCTATCAAACGTGGGCAACAAGGAGCACAGTTTGAGAAGGTGGCCCAGGTACAGCCCCTCTGCACCATCCCCCAAACAAACCCCAGGGATATGTCAGGAGACTCTGTGGAGGAGGTGCCCCGATGGAGGGTCCAAGTCTCACCAGATTGTCCAGCTCTGGGTTGGAGGAGAAGAGAGGCCTCTCGGAGCGGACCTGGGAGGGAAGAGAGAGGCCAGCAGGGCACAGCCTGCCTCCACCCCCCCTCCTCGCTGGCTCTCTGGGCGTGGTGGATGGGGGTGCCCACCTGCTTGGCAAAGGCAGCGATGTCCTCATTGAAGGAATCGGAGGAGCAGACATCGCCCCCCAGGGGTGTGCCCAGCCCAGCCCCAGCCCCATCTCGAGGGGAGCATGTGGCCAGTTCACACTTCTCAAAGACCAGTGCCAGGAGAGGGAAGAGCGGATGTCTGGGGAGGCAGGAGAGGACACAGCTGGTGAGGGGAGGGGTATGTGTGCATGTTGGGGGAAGATGGAGCAAATAGGGATGGGACAAGAGAACCAGGAGGAGAAGAGACAGAGAAAGAGAGGGCTGAGAAAGGCAGCCTTGGAGAAAGAAGAATCCAGAGGCACAGCCCAGACCACATGGAGCCCCCTCTGCCCCAGCCCCCACTCACCCATAGATCTCATCCTTCTCCCTCTTCAGGCCGTCACTGTCCAAGCCCGGGGGCAGGGGCTGGGGTGGCCGGTGTGGGCCGTAGGGCCCAGGGGCTCTTGTTGCTGAGGGCACTGCCTCAGCAAAGCCAGCCAGGGCTGTGGTGCCGTCCACGATGCCTGGGTAGTGGGGCAGCTCATCGTACTGGGGGGAGCCAGGAGAGCCCCGGGGAGGCGTCAGGAGACTCAGACATGCATGTGAGGAGCCTCCCTATCCTGGGACCCAGGAGATATCCCTCCATGTCCCAGGAAGCCGCTTTCTGGTCACTAAGTGTCTGAGCTCTAACCCCCATAAGTCCCCACATCCCATAGAGCTGTCTGGGTGGGCTGAGGACTGATACTACTGGCATAGCGGTTCTCAACCTGTGGGTTGTGACCCCTTTGTAACAATGAAAATACATCCTGCATATCAGATATTTACAGTATGATTCATAGCAGCAGCAAAATTACAGTTATGAAGTAGCAAGAAAAATAATTTTATGGTTGGGGGTCACTACAACATGAGGAACTATATTAAAAGTTCGCAGCATTAGGAAGGTTGAGAACCACTGTCCTGACATGTGGGAGGGCAAACCCAGGGGAGACACCCAACGGTCTGGCTGGGAGGGAAATGGGAGTGAGATTCAGAGGGTGACAGAGAGAGGAAGAGCGGACAGAGAAGGCGGGAAGGTGCAAGGAGGGAGAGAAAGTATCACCCACTGATGCCTCCCTCAGAAAGGTGCACTGTTTGTACACAAATGTACATGTACATATGCAGCCTCCCCACTCCATTTCATTCTGCAGTTGTTAAAAATGCAAGTCTGAATGTATCTTATACAACTTGTCACATCCCACTGGCCACCTCAATCCACAAAATACATTATACACACACAGTCATATACACCCATCCATAAGTACACTCAGGTGTGTCAGTCACACCAGCTCCACTCACACACACATACACACACTTTGAAGCACATCCCCCCACAACATGTGAGCTTAGAGTACCCCCAAATTGCCAGAGCTGCTCCCTTGGGCATGCACACACAGAACCAGACGCTGGCCACAGGAATGAATGAATGAATGAAACATTTAGCACATGAATGAACGAATGAATGAGGAACTTAGCACAGTGCCTAGCTCACAGGCAATAAACACTTGTTGAGGGAAAGGACAACTCCACACAACCAGACACACATTTGTGCAAACAGCCCCGAAGATACACAGGAGCATGAGGTGAGATTTGCATGTCCCATTGTCACAGAACCACATACTGGGGAAGCTGGAGGGACCTTTCTGTCACCAGGTCAAACCCTTTCCTTGGTGATGAAGACTCTGAGGCTCAAAGAGGCAAAAGGATTTGGAAAGGGGGCGTAAGAGCCTTCCTGCCTCCCACCGCCACCAGGGCTCCGCGTGTGTCTGCCTCTCTCCCTCTTCCATTTCCTCTTCTCCTAACTTCTCCTGAGCTATGAACTTGAAGGCAGCCGCTCCCAGTCCGCTGTCCAGCGCTCACCACTCAGAGGGATCCCCCTCATCCTGCCCCTCTCCTGCCCCGCCCTCCCAAAGTGGGTGCCTCCTCCCTGCTTCCTCCCTCCCGGGCCAGAAGAGAGAACCCTACGGCCCAGCGGCGGGTGAGACCACCTCTCTCAGCACGGTCCCCACCCCTAACCCTCAGGACCAGGGGCTTGGAACAAAAGTAGACCGGAGGAAGGATGGGGGAGGGCAGAAAAAGAAGGGGACGGGTGCGGGGTAGAGATAAAGGCCTGGGATGGAGAGGCCAGGGAACATAAAGAAGGGCGGAGCGGGGAGCAGGGACACAAACGGGGGACCGAGGTGCAGGAACGGGACACGTCGGAACTAAGAGGATGGAAGAGAGAAGACGTAGGAGGGGAGAGAAAGAGAGGCAAAGAAAGAGGAGGTGGAGAGGGCGGACGGGCCACTGGGGCCAGAGCCCTGGAGAGGGGAAGATAGAGGGAGGAGGGATGCGAAACCGGCTGGGCAGGGGATCCCGCCCTCACACCTACCCTCCGGGCCATGGGCTGATGCTAGCGGCAGCTGCTGGGTCCTTCCAGAACCTGGCCGGCGAGGGGGGCGCAGGCAGCCCCCCAGACGGCCCGCGGTGCCGACGCCAGGGGGTGGGCAGGAGGCTGGGTGCCCGCCCCCCCCACCCCCGTCACTGGCAGGCGCCGGGCGGGGTGGAGGCTGCGAGCATGGACCCCCAGCCCGGTCCCCCCGCGGGGGTCACGGCCAGGAGCTCATGGCCGCGCGGGAGCGGCAGAGGGTGGCCCGAGGCCCCTTCCCAGGAGCCCCCAGTCGCTCCCCCGGGGTCAGGGCTAATTGAACCAGCCCCAGACAAACAGACCCGGAGACTGGGCAGAAGCAGGCGCGGGGTCTGCGCGGCGGGGGCGGGCGGCGGCGGGGCCGGAGGGTGCAGAGGCTCCTCGATGCCTTGCTCCCCCTCTCCCGGTCTCTCCCTCGCTCTGTGGTCACATCCGGAAGTTCCACCGCGGAGATGCTTAACCCGCTGTCCGCCGGTGGCTCGGGCCGCGAGGCGGGGCGCGGCGGGAGCCTCCGAGACCCTTCCCCCGGCCCTCCGCCCGGCGGCTTTTGTGTGGGGTCTCGCTGGCCCGTCCCCCTCGGCCCCCACCTCTCCTGCCTGGCTCTCTCAGGGTCTCTCTCTGTCCCCCACCCCGCTCCGGGGCGTCTCTACCTCTCCCCCTCTCGGCCGCCTTGGGGCTGGGGCTCGCCCCTCCTCCTGTCTCTCGCCCCAACTCCGGGTTCTCTCTCTCTCTCTCCCCTTACCTCCTTCTCTCCCTTCTCCTCCCTCTCCTTGTCTCCTCTTCTTGCCCACTCTCTTGACAGACACAAATAGGAGGAGAACCGGAGGCAGGAGGAAGCAAAACCCTCACATTTTGGTTTCTCTGCTTGCTCTGGCCCTTTACCCCCCTCCGGGACTCCTGAGCCTGTGTCTGTGGCCATCTGTGCATGCATGTGTGTCCTCAGAGTGTCTGGGTGTGTGTCTGGTTGTCAGGCCATGCCTGGGGGCTTGTGTGTTAGCAGGAGTGGCTGCGCATGTTGTTTCTGTCTCTGAATACAGTGAGTATTGGATGGCGTGTATGTGTGTGTGCACGCGCGGGTGTGTGTGTATCCCTCTGCTCATCTTTGGCCCTTGCCTTTTAGAAGATTCTTAGCCTGGTGTCCTCTCAACTGCTTTAACTGATCTCCGACTCAAGGGTAAATTTTATGCCTGCTTACATATGTGTGGAAGAGAAGGTGCCCAGCTTTCATCCCATTCCTAAGACAAGCTTTAAAAGTAGCATCCTAATGAGATAAAGAAAAAGATTTGTGCACCAGCAACTTACTGATTACCTCCTATGTGCCAGGTGATGTTCTGAGGAGACAGCAGGGAACAAAAGACAAACCTCTTGGCCTCTTGGGGGAGTTCACATTCTGTTGAGGATGGGGGACAGAGATGGGACGGTGGGGAGAGAGCATAGTCAGTTAAATAAATGTATTTAATTAACTAATTCAGAAGGTGGAGTGCTCTGAGACAAAGGAGTATTGGGGAGGGTGCTTTATATAGGCCAGACAGGGAAAGCCCTAGGAGGAGGTGACATTTGAACTATGCAGATCATTCCAGGCAGGGTAGGACAGCAGATGCAAAGGCCCTGGGGCATGAGTGTAGGCACCTTGTCTGGTGTGTTCAAGAAACACCTAAGAGGCTCCTAGGAGGGGTTGAAGGGAGAAGAGAGAGACATCTGGGAGTCCTTCTCTCCATGACATTTTCTAAATTAGGGGTCTTTATCCCTTTGTGTTAGACTCCTGAGGAGGTGTACAAATGGCTATCAGGAGACTTTTGAATCTCTAAAATTGCATAGGAAATGGTGGCCATGGTGCTTTCTTTTCCCCCCATAAAACATATGGTCCATAGTTCTTATCCTGTTCTTTACAAAGGGATCTTTTACTCCTCCAAAAAATTATAAACCATCATTACAGAGGAATAGCAAGGCAGACAAATAAAAAAAGATGAGGGTGCCTGGAGACTCAAGGAGAGAGGGTGACAGATCCAGGGACAGAACCCAAGGAGAAGGGAACAGAGACCCAGACAGAGGGAAGATAGAAACCCATACAGGGGGGAGCGGAGAGAGGGGTTTGAGGCCCTGCCCACCCCTGCTGTGCTCTCTGAGGATGTTTTTGACTCATAAACAGGCTACCTGTGCTGCAACCTGGTTCTTCTTGTTGAAATTAAACAAACTACCAAGGCCCAAGGCAAGGTGTGAGTGGAGTGAGCCAGAGCTACAGCATCAGGCATGGGGGTTAAGGCAGCAACAGCACTTCCTGGTGGGGATGGGAGAGGAAAAGACCCTAGTCCTGGTGCCCCCCAAGCCTCTAGGAGGGCCCTCTCCTCTCCCTGCTAGGGCTCAGCACCTCTGCCAAGTCTCTCATTCTCCTCTACCTGTCTCTTCCTCTTTCTTCCTTTCCCTCTCCCATCTTTTCTCTCTCTCTTTCCCTTTTCATCCCCTGACCCCTGGACACACCATTGACCCTCCTCTCTGGCCATCTCCATGAGTCCCTTGGGAATCTGGAGTCTGGATCCTTCCCTCTCTGAGCCTCCATCTCCCCATCTGCAGGAGGAGCAATGAGCTTGGGTTGGGGGCAAAAGGGTGGGTATTGGGGAAATAAACCGAAGGGTGACAGTATCCCGGGGTCCTTGACTGAGTCTGGGGTCTCACATGTGGAGGTACTCTCCCCATGACTATCCTATTGCGATCCTGGCCCTTTAAGACAGGGGAGGGGAAGGGGTCTGGAGAGCCTTTAATCACTGCCACACAGACCCACCCCCATGATCAGAGTTTTAGAGCAGAAAATTAATTTAAATCACTTTTAAATTTAAGATGCAAAGCTCTTCAATCTGCTCTGTCCCCACACCAGTCTCAGCCAAGATTTAGGGTGGGAGATCCAGGGATCTGGGGTCCCAGACTCAATTTGCATCTTGAGAGGGGATGTGTAGACTTCCTTTTTGCCTTTGGTGAAGCTGATTCTGAAAACCAGAAGTGTAGATGGATTCGAGTGTCCCAGAGGGGCATGAGTGGACATAGCAGGGAGGGGTGTGACTCCAGTGAAGGGATGTGACTCCAGTGAAGAGGTGTGACTCAGAGAAAGGCAAGACAGAGTGGCAGAGAGGAACACAGAGAGGGATGAGGCCACTGAGTTATAGGGGTGACAGAGGAGGGGCTGGGTGGGATGGGTGCTCAGACAGAGACTCTAGAGTTGTTCCTGCTGTCAGTGGTCACTGTGACCTCAGAAGGCCCCTCCAGCCGCCAAAACATAAAAACATAAAAACATTTGGGCTCTCAGCATAAATCTTTTTAATTGAAGAAAGGAATGAAATGTTGAGAAGAGGAAAAACAAGAGTGTCTGGGAGAAAAGTGATGTAGGGGAGCTAGGGACAGGAGGGAGGAGGAAGGGGGAGGTGCTTGGATTTCTGTTTTGTCTCTTCCCAGATGCAGGTCTGTCTGTCGGTCCTCTGTCTTCTGTCTGTAACACACACACTCTTCTTCCCAGCTGGCTCCCAGGCAAGGAAGCAGATGGTGGCCAGACCTCAACCTGGATGGGGTGCCCTGTGCTCCCTGACGTTTCAGGTTGTCAGCATGTCGCTGCTGCTATGCCTCTGTGAGGGTGGAGTTTGAGCCTCTCTTGCAGATACTTGGAAGACAGGTACCTCTGGGGCATGCCAGGCGGTGCCCCCTCTCTGCCAGTGTGTGCAGCTCAGAGTGCCTGGCCCCATCCACATCTTAGAGATGGGCAGGTCTCCGGGCTGCACTCACCCGTGGAGCCCTGTTTTAGTAGATCTGGGGCACCCCTTGGGTCCCTGCGACACAGCTTGGGCCACCTCTCATGGCTCCCCATAACGCCCCCACCTGGCTTAAGCAGGGACCACTGGGACAGCAGCAGACCCCCTTGTATGCCCAGTGGTCCTCAGGATCTGGATCCAAGGCTACAGGAACAGGTCACATGAGCAAGGACCTGCTGAGGACTCCTCCTTTTTCTTTTGGTCCCTCTAACTCCCTACCTCAGTTTCCCCTCTTTGTCAACAGCTCTGTGTCTGTCTCCCTCCATCCTGGGCCCAGACTTTGTCCCTCCTCTCTCTGTCCTAGACTCTCAGGAACTGTATCTCCACTGGGGGGTGGAGGAAGAAGGGATCCTAAAAGGCCCTGTGTGTCTGTTTCTTCCTGTAGTATGTGTCCGTCTGTCTGTCTCATAGGTCTCTTCCTACATCTTTTTTGCTCTATCTCTACATCTCTTTGGATGATCTCTCTGTTTCTCCATCTCTCTCTGTCTCTGGAGGCCTCTTTATCTCTCTGTCCTCTTCATCTCCATCTCCCTGCACCTTCACCCTCTCCACCCTTTCTCCCTTCTTCCCCCTGAGGCCCAGGCCCTTCATGAATACAGTGCCCTGGATCCCCAGGCCCTCCCCCTGCTTGGCCTGGCTCCAGGAGAAGGAAACATTTATCTTGGTGGGTCCTCCCCACCTCTGCACCCGCCCCTCTGCCTGCTGCCGGGCCATCCATCACTGAAGCTGAGACTCCGGCGGCTCATTTGTCACCGTCCTGACAAATGCCTGCCGCCCCTTCCCCTCCCACCCCACCAAGCAATCATACCATTAGCCATGGCTCAGCAGAGGCCACTGAGAGGACCCGGCCTGACCTGAGTGGGGGGGAGGGGCACAGGGTTGTGACTCTCCCATCCCACCCCCGCTCTCCCTCATCTTTCCATTTCTATTTTTTTCCTTGCCCTTTCTGTCCTTTTTGTCTGAATCTGCTTCCTCTGCCAGTTTCTCTCTGTGCCTCACCTCTGGATCTCCCCCTTTCTCCTCCTCCTCTCTCTCTCCCCTTCCTCTCCTCTCGATCTCAGTTTCTCTCTTGCTGTGTTTTTTCTGTCTCTGACTCTCTCTTTGTTTTTCTCTCTCCATGTGTCTCTTCCCTGTTGTCTCTCTCTAACTCTGTCTTTGTCTCTCTCTATCCCTGTCTGTCTCCATCTCCCCATCGTTCTCTCTCTCTCTCTCTGCTGGGGTCTCTCTGTCCAGCCTGTGCCTTTTTAACTCCTGGTTTTCTCTGTGCAAATTCTTAGGCATCCGCCTCTCTGTGGCTTTGAGCAGCGGTGAAGGGGTCTCAAGATTGCTTTAACCCACCCTCCTTGCTGTCTCTGTCTTGCTGTCCCATGTCTCTGGCATTGTGTTTGAAGTCCCTGGGTTACTC